AAAAAAAAAAAAAAAAAAAAAAAAAAAAAAAAAAAAAAAAAAGGTTCTGCAGGGGGCTCAGTTCCCATCAATCATGGCGCCATGGAGATCATGTGGTACCATGTTCTTTCAAATTACATGCATCTTTTTCTTTTATTATTATTATTTATTCAACTTTGGAATGTAAAGAATCTAATCTCAAAAGATGAAAGAAAGATGCAATTGTTAGTATGAATGTTTGCGAGTACACAACATATATCTCAAATTTACCTAACAAATTCATTCCCAAATTTTGTCTCCATTTATGTGGCGCGGGTATTACTCCGTTTAGAATTGAAAAACTCGGGTAATATTTAATTTATTATATAAGTTATGTTACTATAAAATCAAAAGTCATTATTTTATACCAACAAAATACATGTCTTTTTCAGTGGCTCAATAATAGGAATTCCAAAGTTAAGTATGTTTTGCTTAGAGCACTTCTATGTTAGATGATCTCCTAAGAATTTTTCTAGAATTCACGTGAGTGAGGACAATATCGGCACACAAGTGTTGAATTTAGATTTTGAATTCCAAGCATATTTTGTTACCTTTGTTTTTGTAAATTATTTGTATGAAAAAAAAAAAAAAAAAGTCAATTTTTAAAAACTATATTTTAAAATTATTAGATTTACCGTCTTGAAAGGGTTCTTAAAAGGGTTCTTAAAATGAAACAAGGGGTTCTTAAAATGAAACAAGAGTTGATTGGAGGAAATTCATGTACCTCACCATTAAAAGAAATTGTTAGGTTAAAAAATAGTGTATTGTTTGAAGCTTAAATTAGATTATTTGATCTTATAATTAAAAATTAAAAATTAAATAAAAATCAAATTCTCTCAAATTAGATATAAATTAGGGTGTTTTTTAAGGTAACAATGAGAGATACTTTAGACCAAACTTGGGTGGCATATAATAAGATTCAAAATGCTAAACATTAGAGTTTCATATTTCAAATAAATAATCAAATTATAGAACTATAAAGATGTGTGGGGACAACCAAACAAAAGGTAAAAACTAGAAGCTTGGCCAACAAAATAGATAGAAAAATCCTTTTACCAACAAAAGAATAATAATAATAAATTGTGAATGCATGTAAAAACTCGGAATAAATTTTTAATTTTATATCTAATAAATTATTAAATTTCTAAAAATAAAATTCTAAGGATAAATCTTATTAAATTTTGTATAAATAGGTGGAAAAGATCGAAAAATGTAAAAAGAGTTCTAAAAAGATAAACCTGCTCATAGTAAATAGTTTAGTGCCATTTTTGTTCGACATATGAATTTATTGAATACAATATTTCTTTTTGGAGTTCAATAAATGCAAGAAAATCGATATCTATAGTTAGCCATTAAACATTAAAAATTAAGAAAATGCACGTGGCAAAGGGTTAAAGAAAAGAAACGTGGCAGATGATAATTGGGTGGAAATAAAAAAAAAAAGTTACAATGGACCATTCAAGTACAAGGAATCACGTGACATGTCTCCCCTCGGTCACGTGGATTCTGCCAAAGTTTCAGCTAGAGATCTCTCCCATCTTATGAGCAAGCTGACACGTGTCATTATTTGTAGGAATTATACATGGGCCATATTCTGGCTTTCACGAACCCATTTTTTAAATAATTTATAATTCTCTCTGTTTCAGAATTTTATACCCAAAATTATTATTATTATTATTATTATTTTCTTTTTTTTCTCTTTGTATATATTTTTAATGGATAAATATTGTTGGATTTCCCACAATCATCAATTAATCAAATTAGTTTATGTTTATATCTTATTATTAGAAAAAATGGATATTAAACAATTCTTTTCGTATTTTGCATTGATTCTTTTGGATGTTGAGCTTTTGTTGGTCGGTTTTGCATAATCGAGAAATTTTGCTATAATTATTCAATTATGGTTATTCCATTTTTATTAATTAATTTCTAATTTGTCTTATTATTATTTAATAAACCTTGTTTTATCGTTGTCACCGACTTTTTTTTTTTTAAAAAAATGTAAAACAAATATATTTGGGTGCATTTGAATTGTTTAATTTTTTAGGATAGATTCAAATCTAACAAAATTAGGCTAAATAGCACAAAAGTAAAATGTGATAAGCTTAAAACAAACTCGTCATACTAAAAGTAAAATGTAAAATAATACAATTTCATACGATGACTTAAGCTCATACATATCTTCATATAATTTGATTAGATAATGTGTTTGGTTTTCAAACTTAAGGTCGTGTTTTATGAAACTTTAATACGTTATTGTAAGATCCCACATTGATTGTAGAGGGAAATGAGTGTCAATGAAGACGCTGGGTCTCGAGAGGGGTAGATGGTGAGAACCCACATCAGTTGGAGAGGGGAACGAAACATTTATTATAAAAGTGTAGAAACCTCTCTCTAATAAACGTGTTTTAAAAACTTGAGGGAAAGTCCGAAAGGAAAAATACAAAGAGGATAATATCTACTAGCAGTAGACGTGTGTTGTTACCAGACGTAGAAGATGATTAAATCATGTTACTAAGAAACCTCCCATACAACTCCATAATCTGAAGCAAAGGAGGGAATTAAGAATCCTGCAAAATTGGTTCGCAAGTTTAGGAGAAACCAATGGCTGTTTGGAAGAGAAGAAGAGTGTGGTGTGGTGTAGCATAGCGGAAAGAAAGATGCCTATCTTGCAATGGCAGTTTTGGTTTCACTTTAGAAAACTTGACCAGCAACCCAAGGCTGCCATTTTCCAGCACCCACTCTCATTTCTTACGCCTTCTCTGCACACCCACCTACCCTTTCTCAGGCACCAACCCAGATTAAGTTACCTATTTCTAAGCCTCTGCCTTTACACTTTTTCTTCGTCTCTTACTCCTGGCTTGGATCTTGGAGATTTTGTCAGTTTGTAATAAGTGTTGATAACATAACAACAGAGACAAGATTCTTGGTAACTTTTTCAATCATTTTTGTTTTACTGTTTGGTAAGATCTGAATTTTCATATGCAGCCAAGTTGTTTTGTAAATGATATCCAATCAGGATTAAGAAGAATGATGGCTTCTCCCACCATTTCTTCTTAGTTGCTTTACCACGCAAATATCTGGTTCTTGTGGATTTATTAGATTAACTTTCAATGATAGCCACTAGTTTTTGTCAATCGACAACTTAATTAACAGTCCTTCTGTAGGGTATGCTTCTTGAAACACGAATACAGAGTGAATTTATTGAATCAAACAAATTTGGACCCATTTGGCTCATGATTGGAAAAGATTTTTATTTCATACCTTCTTTATTTTAACTACATGCCTTATAACTGCACTATTTGAATCAGAGGAAGTGATTTTTTAGGACATATATGGATTAGGGAACAACAACAGGGCCACACAACGCACGAGCGTAGGCCCCCAACACAAAGGCAAAGGCCATTTCAATTCTTGCCGACAGCCATGTGCCTTCCTTTCTACATCCCTTCTTCTAATTCTCACCACCCATATGCCTTTCCATCTCACACTCTCTTTATAATCATATGTTTCCTACGTCTTTTATATCCTAAGACTTGGGAATAATGTGTCAGAAGGCTTCATGTGGGAGTGGGACGGGGTGCCTTACCTACCATGATACCTATACACTTCTTCAATATATATGTTTTCAGAACGATAGGCAAATTACAACTGGGAAATATTTATTAATGTAGGGAAACAGATTAAGTGTTTTAATATGTTTTTGGCCTTTGAATACTTGATGAGTTTTGAAAGCTTGACTACTAGAAACCAAATTCATGGATCCAACCTTGCCTCAAATTCTATCTTTAGATTTCTTCTTTTGATCTGAGGACAATATCGGTTAGTAGTAGATTTTGACTGTTACAAATGGTATCAGAGCTAGATACCGAGCGATGCGTCAGCAAGGACACTGGACCCTCAAGAGGAGTAGACTGTGAGATCCCACATCGATGGAAGAGGGGAATGAAACATTTCTTATAAAGGTGTGGAAACTTTTCCCTAACAGATGCAGTTTAAAAACTTTGAGGGAAAGTCCGAAAGGGAAAGCCCAAAGAAGACAATATCTACTAGCGATAACCTTTTTTTTTTTCTAACTAATTAGAGTTGACATGAAATGGATCATGGAAGAAGATGTATCTGATGAATGAATGATTCAATCCCCTCTTTGAACCGATACCTTCAATCTTTAGTCTTATAGTTTTTTTTTTATCCATCTATATTGCAATTTTGTCCACCGACTTTTAAAATATAATGTCGCAAGTTTAAAATATTATGGACCAAAAAACTTGCATCATATATAAATAAAAATAATCAGAAGCTAGATTAATTAAAATAGTAATGTTTACCTGGATGAATGAGTCTTTGTTTAATTGGTTTGATGCTGACCTTGTCAATATCAACCTTAGAGAAGGATTGGTAATAATGTGTAGGGCAGTAGCCATCCTGTCAATGCATGTTTATAGATAGTGGATGTGATTAAATTAGCAATTGATTTAAAATCTAAATCTCGTACACCACATGATTGCTCAGAAACTTAATCATCGAAAACAGGAGGCTGATCGTTTACCTGGAAGTGGTGCAGACTTGAACTCCATAAATAGTAGTTAAGCTCCAATGCACTATAAGCTATGCTAAACAATTTAAGAACACTGTCAAAAAGAAGCCAATCCAAACATGGAGTTTGATAAGGAATAAGGGAGTGAAAGGCTCACAAGAATGGGACAAAGACAAGGCCGCCAACTTAATCTTAAAATACAAAAGATCTGCACAAAGTTGAATAATAACTTCCTCAGCACAGAGAAGTTTAGATAACAAAAATATAACGTGCAACATCAAAATGGAGAAATTTTACTTGTGGGAATGAACCCGAAAACAATCTGCTAATTCCTAGCATAAAACGAGATGCTAGCATTTCCTGCAACATGATTATTCTTGTAGTACTTTATAGGGGAAGCTTATTAGGAATCACGGATCTCCACAATGGTACGATATTATCCACTTTGAGCATAAGCTCTCATGGCTTTGCATTAGGCTTTTTCAAAAGACCTCATACCAATGGAGATGTATTCCTTATTTGTAAATCCATAATCATTCCCTAAATTAATCGATGTGGGACTCCCTCTCAACAAAGCCTTCTACCCCAAATCATACCATATAATCTGATTTGTGAAATCATTCACAACAATTGTCTCTGTCTTTTCATATCAGTCAACAGTGCGACGAAATTTATATCAATATTTATCAAAGATGAACGACTAAAGTATGATTTGATCCACCAGCAGTTAAGACGTAAAACCATAGTCCTAAATACTCGTACTGTACAGTCGTTGATTTCCATGGTCAAAAGAGCTCAAATGATAATTAACATAGATCTGCAAGCAGGGCTATGGAACCTATCACAAAACAAGTTGTCAAGAGAAACGAGGTTTAACTAAAACATCTTACCATATGAACTTGATTCCTTAAAGACAACAACGACAGGATATAAACAACTTCATCTCCCTTAACTAAAACACCTTATCATGAGAACCCCCATTGCAAAATCTTTTACAAAAATGGTGGTTGAAGATAGACGAGAAGACAAATGATAGCCATTGATGAAGAGTTATTACCATCGAGCACTGATAACTCCATCGCTAGCTGTTCAACAAAAACTATAAACATAAAATCTTCCAGATTTCCATTCCCCTATATCATGTTGCACCATGGAAAATATTCAGCTTAAAAAGCCCTGAAACCAACTTTCCGAGACAAACAATGATAAATACAATTAAAAACTTGAATTATAGCTGCTTATCATACCATTCCATCAGTAAACATTTCATTTGGTACTAATAACAACACAGTTTCAGCAGCTAAACTCAATATCATATTTGAAATAAGACAGCGGGCAATCTCTACCTTTATTCATATTGAGCTTCAAGTGTTTGAACGCAGAATAAGAATTGTCAGCCAAGACACGTTTTAAATGCGTACTGAGGCTTGTGATCATCATCTCGTAAATAACACGAACTACGAACACTCCTTCGCTCCCTGAGCCGTCCGACAGTAAATAAGATCGTAAGCACTGCGAAAGACGCTACAAAATAGAGCGATTTTGACTTCCATTTGATTCATTGACCTCCGTTCCCATTTGCAGTGTTTCTTCCATTTGGAGCTCGGCTTCGACTTCGGACTGAATGTTTATACCATCCCGCAACGGTGTCGTGTTGTCCACGTCAATGAGAGAATATTCTCGCATTATCTTATCTATTAAAGGACGACAAGTTGTTGGTGAATTCGTCTGCACCTCAAAAGCGTAGATCCAATATGTCGTATGAAATCCCACATTGTTCATAAATTATTCTCAATTTATTCTAGGATGAATTATCAAATCGACATGGATTTTCAACTTGATGGATTTTTCAACTTTCAAGGTAACGCAGAGAATGAACCAAGCGAAGATATAACAATGACTTTTTTAATTCAATCAAATATTCATATTAAATTTTTTTTGAGAATTGAAAATCTTACACTCTAGTCATTTGTGGTGCACATGCTTTTTTGATAGAGATAATTTGTGTTCTTGAACAAAATTAGAAATAGATTGATTTGAAATTTTGTAGTCCCCATAGTCAAATATGACATTAAACTACAAATTTGAATTTGACGTCATCATGTTCTAACTAGGTACATAATTTCAAATATTTGAAATACGTCTCGTAAATACACAATTGAGCTAAATAAATTTTATGAAAACATGAATATAACTCTACCATTTGCGCCTAGATTGTTCAAATCTCTACCCCACATTTAATATACTAAGAATATTGACTAAGAATATTGATTGATCAACCTATCACCAACCCATATTTAAAGTACTAAAAGTATAACTGGAAACTTCATGTTGCAGGAAGATGCAATAATCATAATCCTTGAAAACAAATAGCGGCCTAACTGGCTAACATTATTGAATATAGGAACATGAGATATGGGGAATTGCAAGGCAATTAAAGCAGGAAAGGAGTTCTCAACATACTTGATTAGTTACTGCCACAAAATGATATTGAGGGATGAAACTTTATGTTGCAGGAAGATGCAACAAAATTGATCCTTAATAAGGAATCATGGCCAGAGTATCTAACATTGTTAAGCCAAGAAGCAATAAGAATTGGAAATATGTGCATGGCAATTAAAGCAGGAGAGGAATTATCGACACAGATAACAATTAGCTACTGTAAAAAGAAGATATTGAGGGATGAAACTTAGTGCTGGAAGAAGATGAAATGGAAATGGTCAATAAGAACATATTATGGCCTAACTAGCAAACAATGACAGTGTTAAACAAATGAGCGTTAAGAAATTGGAAATTAAAGCAAGACAGGAATGATCAACATAGTTAAAATTGCTATTTCAGAGAATGATATTGAGGGATGAAACTTTATGTTGTTGGAAAATGCAATGGAAAGGGTCCCTAAAAACAGATCGTGGTCTAAAAGCTAACATTGTTAAACAAAGAAGCACCAAAAAAACTAAAAATGGAAATATATGCATGACAATTAAAGCAAGATAAGAATTATCAACATAGTTAACGATTAGCTACTGCCAGACAAGGATATTGGGGGATGAAACTTCTTGGTGTCTTTAAAACAAAACATGGCCTAACCAGCTAACATTGTTAAAGGATCATTGAGAAATGAAAATATAAGCAATCCAATGAAAGCAGAAAGATGCAATTAACACTGCCATAAAAGGAGAATGCTGCAGGAAGATGCAATGAAGATTATCATCAAGAACAAATGGGGGCTTAACTAGCTAACATTGATAAACAAAGGAGCATTAAGAAAAGGAAATAAATGCAAGGCAAGTGAAACGGGAAAGATAATATCAGAATCTCATTTAATTCTAATTGTAAAAACTGAACATCCGAGGCATACATAGGCAATGAAGAAGGCCACTATCCAAAGAACGATACACCCTTTTGACCTTCCACAGAAAATCAATAACTCTGTAAGCCAGAAGCACAATCGGAATCTTTAATTACTATATATGATCTGATGAAAAGATCAATTGTCAATTGCATCACATTGATAATTGCAAACATCAGTACAAGCCAGCCATTAAAGAGCATTAAACTCTGATTAGATTTGAAGTTAGAAAGAAACCGTTTAGATATGGTATTTGTTTATCTCAAGATAAACTTTGCGGACTACGAACTCGGTCAAAATGGAATAAATATCTTCGGACAATTTATAACATCATTAATGTAGAATCGACGGCGTAGATCCTTCAATTGCCAAAAACCCATGATCCACATACCATTGAGGGCTATTTCATAGTTATAAAGCATATAAGGAACAAACTAATATTCAAGAGAAAACAGACCCGCATTGTTAGTGAAATTGCTGGAAGGAGTTCGCTTCCAACGCTTACTATATCAGTCGTGAACCACATTTGACTTCGGATTGACTTGACTGTGTAGATTGGCCATAACTTCAACATAAACCCCAAGCTTTAAGGTCACAAGTGAGCGTTGACTTCGGATTGACTTGACTGTGTAGATTGGCCATAACTTCAACATAAACCCCAAGCTTTAAGGTCACAAGTGAGCGTTAGATTAGATTAGTTCGATAGAGGGCAATAATGACCAAAATTAAGCACAACAGAAAAAAAAAACCGACTCGATGTCGTAAACGTTAATAGATCAAGAATCTGGTAGATCTTATTATTTCAAGTCGGTTAAAATCAAGAAAAAAAAAAAAAGATGCACACAAGTCATCAACTACTACTACAAAAGGTATCATGTATTCCAGATTGATATTAATTTCACAAAGAAAAAGGTCGATTCACAAGTTGAAAACATTCCGTTCATCAACACTTGTACAATTCACCCCCCTAAGACTCCAATAACCGGATCAGGCGGAGAATCGGGTGTGAGATTGGTCAGGCTAGAAGCGAGGAACCACAAAGAAGACTTAGCAGCCAAAAGTTTTTTTCTCTGCAAGCAGAGGGGACCATACACCCTCCCAGCAAAGCAAGGAGAAGCATCAGCAACGTTCACCTGAAGCAGACCGGAGCCCATCGGCGTAGTAGAAGACGATAGCGATGAGGGACGAGTGGAGTAGATCTGAGAGACCAAATTAACCCGATTGAATCGGGCGATCATCCGCGAATTCCGGATTTGTGCTAGCGCACCGGGCTTTAGATACTTATGAAACGTCTCGGAATGAGAGTTCCCGGATCTTCTGGATCTTCGATTCATGTTCCAGAGATGGAAGGAAAAGAGGGATGAGGACGATGGAAAATGGAGACGGGAGATTAGGGCTTTAATGAGTGGGGAGTGAGGAGTGGGCGGGAGAAGGAGAGGCGGGAAAGTGGTGGAGGGAAAATAAAATGGGAACAGGGAGAAAGAGAGGGATCATATTATTTTTGCGCTTTTGAAAGACCGGCCAGTTAGGGGAGTTTTGTCGTTTCTGACCTAGTTACCATGTGAGCGTGACACGTGTCTTTGCTTCTCTAAGGGCCTTTCTCAAATTTGGTTTTCTTGCATGTGCCTAAATTACTAAAATGCCCCTGTAAATGGATGCTTACACACTTTTCAACTTGGATTAATAATTATCCCATAAATCTTTAAATTTAAAAATTATTATTATTATTATGTATTTATTTGATTTTTTTTTTTATAGACTTCTTCTGATAGACATCAATTTTAATTATATATGATATAAACAAAATTACTAATTTAGGGCGTTATTAAATACAAAAATTAAAATTTAGAAAGGTATTTAAGAAGGTTTAGACGCTAAATAACTACAACTTAAGAGTAAATATGTAATTTAACGATGAACCTGCAGAATTAAATAGTATAAATTGACATTTCTCAAAATTCTTTAAAATTGTATTTTATATATTCAAGAGCTTTAAAAATATAAATATTTACATATTTTTGTCGTATATAATATTTAATAAATTATTAAACTATGTTGGGTTTAAGCGTATGTTTTATTAAGTAACCTTTTAAAACGAATGAACATATTAGACAGATCACATCACAGTGATATTAAACATTAATTAATATATTAAAATATAAAAAATTATAAATTCATACTCATATATTCTTAGGTACATAATTTAATTCTTCGTGTGAAAAATATATAATTTCATCTTGCATTTTCATCCATATGAATAAAATAAAGTCTCATTTTGTATTTTATTAAATTGAACTTTAATATGGGTTTGGTATTATTTTGCAATATATTTAATTTTGTGTAATTTGAAGAGGGGAAATACTAAAATATCGAGGCCCACACCCTAGGCCCACGTGGCGTGAGGAGAAGCCCAGATTGAAAGCCCTAAGCCGATTATTAGTCTAATCAAACGCTATGAATAATTAATTAATTAATTAACACCACAAGTTTCGCGGGATTTTTTGTCGGAGACCCGCATGGCCTCCATATGATTGTTAATACAGAATAATGTTTCCAAATTAACGAATACCACTTACCGAAAATAAAACACTTTGAATTTTTAATAAAATTATAAAATACAGATAATTTTTTTAAAAATATTTTAAGATTTTAACTCTGTACTGTTATATTTAGAAGGTAAGAGTAATAGCATAATACGTGGCTCCAGTAGATATTTACAATTCCCCAAATCTCACGGGATAACCCAATTTTTCTTGCGAATTGACCGAGCCCTCCGCCCCAATTTGTCCCAGCCCCTTAAATAATATAACGGAAATTAAAAAAGAAACCTTTCCATGTGCTCATATTCATTTTCTTACGGTGTACCTCCACCCAAACTCCGCCACCTCATCATAGGAAAAAAACAACAACAATAACAATAATAAATAAATAAACAAAATGCCACAATCATAGCACAAACTTATAAGACAGAACAGCTCCGTAAATTAAAGCATTTTTATATGTTTACTTAATATTTTAAAAAAATTAAAATTATAGTTTTTGTTAAGCTATAGAAATTGTAAATTTATATTAAATTGGACACTAAACTTAGCATTATTCTTACAAAATTTGTTAGTTTTAACCAAAAATTAATATAACAGATAAATTTGGGTAAAAAAAATCTGGAAAAAAACTTTATAAATTTAATTAGGTTAAAACACAATTTTAATTTTTGTCATAAAATTTCAAATTTAGTATAATATAGTTTCAATAAAGTTCAAGGTTGATCTTAATTCATTGTAACAAAAATAATGAAAATTATCTAATCAATTTAAATAATTTTTGAAGTGTATAGATTCAATTAAAATGAAATTAAATATTAAACAATCAACGCCCTAAAGATACCGTCATCAAAACGAAAGGCTGTTTTGAGATTGGACCAGTGGTGATGGTGAACGGTGCACCTCACTGTAGACGAGTAATTCTCTTGTCCCTCTTGGAGGCTCTTAATTAACTTTACCCGCCAGATCAGTTCCAAGAACAAAAGTGGCACGCAGCCCTAAGTGTTTATCCCTTCTCCACACGCCCTCCACCTGCATTCTTCCTATCGCTGAGAACGACGACCGCTACGTTCCTTTCTCACTGGTTCTTCCCATAACGGCTTCCATTTCCAGGCTCAACTCCCAATCCTTATCCCATAATTCTCTTATTGTCGTCATCCTGATAGCCATTCGTATATAATGGCTTCGGCCTCAGCATCTGCGCTGCTCAGAGCTTCAAGAGCAAGGTTATTATCACCTTCCTTTTGCTCCAGAGCCTTTCCCGGTTCTTCTCCGAAGCCGTCCTCACTCTCGTTCGCCACCACTTATAGTTCTCTCAGTGGTTCCTCTGCCTTTCGATCGGTTTCTCGCTGGAGCCACGGTGTCGACTGGCGTTCTCCTCTCAGTCTTCGTGCTCAGATCAGAGCCGCTGCTCCTGTGATTGAACGTTTTCATCGTAAATTCTCCTCCATGGGTATGGCCAAGAAAAGTTAGCTTGATTATTTGTTTTTTCCATTTCTTGTTTGTGCGGAACGATCTGTCTTTGATGTGATTGTTCGGTTACGATGTTTATTGAATGGAATATTTTCTGTTGTCTTAACGGATGTATGCTAGATAATATGGTTTATTCGCTTTGCTGAGCGATTAAAGGTAATAGGATGGAAGTAGTCTAATAGGCCTGTTTCTTTCTTTTTCTTTTTCTTTTTCTTTGCTTGGTTTACTGTTAGTTTATCTAGTTTATCAGGACCAGATATGCTGTGAGGACGAAATTTGATGCCGCGAGTTCAAGACTTAATGTTGTTCTTAGTTCTTTTTATTTTATGTATATCTCCCTTATTCTGATCAAGCATTGTTATGGTTTCAGCTGCCCAAAATCCTTTCAAGGAAAATTTAACGAGTCTTCCAAAGCCTGGCGGTGGAGAATTTGGAAAGTATTACAGTCTACCATCTCTGAATGATCCGAGAATTGGTAACTTTTTCAAACTGACTACTGCAGAAGGATTGTTTTAATAGTTTTCGACAAAGCATTATCGTTTCTTGTTTTGCTTCTTGTGAATACTCCTTTTTATTTTACGTTTATGCCCAACAGATAAGTTGCCTTACTCCATCAAAATATTACTTGAATCTGCAATTCGGAACTGTGACAATTTCCAATTGAAAAAGGAAGACGTGGAGAAAATTATTGATTGGGAAAATAGCTCTCCAAAGCAAGTTGAAATTCCTTTCAAACCTGCTCGTGTCCTACTGCAGGTACTGTTTGATAGACTCTGAGGTTTTCCTGGATGATTTTGTTCTTTTCTGTCTTTATTTTTCAAATTGTGCCCTCCTAACATTTCCACGATCACAGGATTTTACTGGGGTACCAGCGGTTGTTGATCTTGCCTGTATGCGTGATGCCATGAACAAACTTGGCAGTGATTCCAATAAAATAAATCCCCTGGTATGCATTTACTTCTTTAACACTTGTTGCTATGTCGGTGGTAAAATGTACTCTACATTATTGGGGTTCACTACTTTGACCAATGGTCTTACGTCATATGTTGATAGCCAAGATGTGAGAAATATGATGAGATGTTTCATGCTGATATTCAATTACTATCAAGAACTGTGACATTTAATCCTATTGCTTTTTTACTCCTGATCGTGATCATAATTCATAGATTTTTCTTGACCACTTATAGGGAATATAATCTGTAGTCACGATATCCTCTTTTCAAGTTATCATTTCTTTTTGGTGCAGTTGCAGGTTACTGTAGATATCCTTGACCACCCAAATTTATGTCATCTAGTTTTTCCATAAATTTCTTACTGGAATTAGCATCTGTCGTGTAGGTTCCTGTAGACCTTGTAATTGACCATTCAGTTCAAGTTGATGTAGCAAAATCAGAAAATGCAGTCCAGGCCAATATGGATCTTGAATTCCAAAGGAACAAGGAAAGATTTGCTTTCCTAAAATGGGGGTCTAATGCATTCCAGAATATGCTTGTTGTTCCTCCTGGATCTGGTATTGTGCATCAGGTACTAATATTTTAAGTGAGCTAGAAGGTTCTGGATTAAAAAAATTTACTTTTGAGAAGGTTTTCTGTTGCTGCTAGCAGGACTGTATTAATTCATCACTACTTTTGGTCGAAAAATGTTATTAAATGAAATGAAAATAAGGAGAAGTGATGATAGCATTAAATCTTATAATTGAACGTTTTAATATTTCAGGTCAATTTGGAATATCTTGGAAGAGTGGTTTTCAACACTGGTGGTCTGCTCTATCCAGATAGCGTGGTTGGAACTGATTCTCACACAACAATGATTGATGGTTTGGGGGTTGCTGGTTGGGGTGTTGGAGGTATCGAGGCAGAGGCTGCAATGCTTGGACAGGTAATTGAGTTCTGATCTTTGGTTTTCAATTGATTTTTGTAGATTCAGTACACATTTTGTCTATTTTGAAGGCTTGGGTTGAGTTCTATACTTTCCAGAGTCTGATGTTTGAATTTTGTTATTGATAGCCAATGAGCATGGTATTGCCTGGTGTTGTTGGGTTCAAGTTATCTGGAAAATTACGAAATGGGGTCACTGCTACTGACTTGGTTTTGACTGTAACACAAATGTTGAGGAAGCATGGTGTTGTTGGAAAATTTGTAGAGTTCTACGGTAATTACATCCTGTGACCTATCAATGCGCTGTTTTTCACCCAATTTTACTTTTCAGCCGATGGTTGAATGAAATGTGATTTTGTAGGGGATGGCATGGAGGAACTATCGTTAGCTGACCGAGCCACAATAGCAAATATGTCTCCTGAGTATGGTGCGACTATGGGGTTCTTCCCGGTGGATCATGTTACCTTGCAATATCTCAAGTTAACTGGAAGAAGCGATGAAACTGTGGGTGTTATCTCAGTGCATTGATAAATAAGTTGTATAGAAGAAGTGAAATCCTATATAACTTTTCTGTTTCTGACTGCAGGTGTCGATGATTGAAGCTTACCTCCGGGCAAATAAAATGTTTGTCGACTATAATGAGGTAAATTCCTGCATATTACTTTTTTTAAGTTCTGTTATGAGTGTTCACCTGCTGGTCTTCTGATTTTTTAGATGTAGCAGTAGTGGTTTTCTTATGTTTGGTCAATTTTTGTTGTTCAGCCTCAACAAGAAAGAGTGTATTCATCTTACCTACAATTAGACCTTGCGGGTGTAGAGCCATGCATTTCAGGTCCAAAAAGGTATGCGTTCTTAGCTGCTTTGTCAGTATCTTCTTTGCCCTTCATGTTTAGGTTCCTAGATTCAGATTTTAATATTTTATATCAGAATCTTGGATGTAGTCTTATACTCTTATGCTGCATCTGTAAAGACCCCATGATCGCGTGCCTTTGAAAGAGATGAAGTCTGATTGGCATGCTTGCCTTGATAACAAAGTTGGGTTTAAGGTATGTGTGTTACTTCTTCTATCACATATAGTGTGGCTAACATATATCTAATCATATTCTTTTTAAATTGACACCAGTCTTATCATAATTTATGTTTATTCTGTAAATATTTTTAATTCTTGCTTTAATTCAAGGGATTTGCTATACCAAAAGAAGCACAGGAAAAAGTGGCGAAGTTTTCATTTCATGGACAGCCAGCTGAGCTGAAACATGGTAGCGTTGTTATCGCAGCTATAACAAGCTGTACCAACACGTCAAACCCTAGTGTTATGTTAGGCGCTGCTCTTGTAGCTAAAAAGGCTTGTGAACTTGGTTTACAGGTACTCATGGACATGGGTGTTCAATTCATTTAAGAGACTTCTTTTTGTATCCCTTCCTCTTCCAATGTTTAATAATTTCTTCAAACATTGTGATTTTAGCTCGTCACTTTAGTTCTGCTTTTATCCTTTTTGGCCTGGCTTGAGGGGCGAAAGTATAGTCTTTACATGTTAATCATATCTTATTCTTAACGTTACACCAGGTCAAGCCATGGGTGAAGACAAGTCTTGCACCGGGCTCCGGAGTTGTGACAAAATACTTATTGAAGAGGTAATTAATCATCAAACCTAATTGTTATATATTTACTGCATCTAGTCTAGTAATTTTCATATTTCTCATTTCTTGTTTCACTGTCTTGTTTTTTTCGAAAGAAAAAAAAGAGCAATTGAAACATGTTTGATAATTGTTCTTGTTCTTTTTTTCCTTTGAAAAAATAGAAGTGTTCTCTAGAGGCTTTAAGTTGAGAAAAAAATTACTTAAAAATACATTCAGATTATTTTTATTTCTATTTTTTATATTTACCTTATTTTATAAATAAAAATGATTAAAAAAAAAACTATTATTAATGTTATAAAAAAAAAACTATTATTAATGTTATAAAAAAAAAAAATGAAATAAAAATTTTTATGTTTTGAGTTTAAGTCTTTGTACTGTAAAACAAAAAAGAACAGGAAGAATGCTAGCCTTTCCAGACATCAGTGAAAATATTTCTTATCTAAAAAAAATCACCTTTCTTTTGTTACGCAAGAACATGAAAAATAATAATTCTGTATGTGATTGATGCAGTGGACTACAGCCATATCTAAATCAGCAGGGCTTCCATATAGTTGGCTATGGTTGTACAACCTGTATCGGTAATTCTGGGGATTTGGATGAATCAGTATCTGCTGCTATATCCGAGAACGGTAATTTTAGAATGTGATAAGCTGATAAGATATTGTAATCAGGGGATGCGATTGTTACAAAATGGCCCGACTTTACTCGTTAAATAATATTTAACAGGTATACTGTTTCATTTTCGCCTTGATTAATTTTTTATGGACTTTGTTCATGCAGATATTGTTGCAGCTGCTGTGCTCTCTGGGAACCGGAATTTTGAGGGTCGTGTTCATCCACTGACCAGAGCGAACTACCTTGCTTCACCTCCCTTGGTGGTGGCTTATGCCTTAGCTGGCACGGTATGCACTGGCAGTTTTTATATCTACTTCTTCTGATCAATTTTGGGCTGTGGAATGATAAAATGTATTGGGTACTGTTTTGGTTCCTTTGATCATATTTAGTTGTAAGGTGGATTTCAGAGAGGTAGTGGTATGAAAATCATCAAAACGTCTAGTCCAACCTTTCTGTAGTTTTTAATTCTTCTTTTGTGGTCTAAGGTGGGGGATTGTTGGTTGAGAAATAGGACAATGTCCTTTTTACACAGGGTCTTACCTCAGCATAGCTTAACAGTAGATTTTTATTGGTTTATTGCCTTCTGACTGGTAGGATGTTAGTTTCACTCCATAAGATTTCAGTAACAATGTAGTTATTTGCAGAGGGCTGTTTTTGCAACTCCATACGGTTTCAATACAATAGGCTATTTTGACACTTTGGTGGTATTCCAACTTATTTAGTGCATTGCTTGCTGCTCTTTGTTGCTTTATAGATAGAAAGTAGAGGTTCTTCTTGACATTTGAAAGGGCGTCACATGACCTTTTCCTTCTTTAGTTTGTAGTAACTGTAGATCGTTTTTTAATAGTGTTTTCTGTCGCAACCTTTTTAACTAACCGGATGGTATTTTTTAACCTCCCTGGGTCTGATTTCGGCGGTGTTAAGTCTTAATGTTCGCAAATACATATTTTTTTAAAGAAGAATATGATTTTGGCGATGTCTCTGTCACCCTCTCGCAGTTGTAAAACTATTGAGTTAAATGGTGTCTCAAGCTATCATATAAGAATCATATTTTTGGAATAGTTGAGTGAAAGTCATGAATTATGCTGTGGCTCTAATCTGGTACTATTTTGTCCTCATGAGATAACTTGAACGAGTTTTCCAGGTTGATATCGACTTTGAGAAGGATCCAATTGGAAAAGGGAAGGATGGAAAGGATGTCTATTTCAGAGACATCTGGCCTTCTACAGAAGAAATAGCCGAGGTAGATAGTTTTTATATTGTGGAAGTGCAGTGAAATACGTTTTACAAGTAATAATTGATTTAACTGGTTTAAAATACATCTTAGGTTGTTCAATCCAGTGTATTGCCTGACATGTTCAAAAGTACTTATGAATCTATCACAAAAGGAAACCCAATGTGGAACCAACTTTCAGTCACTGCTGGCACCCTGTATTCATGGGACCCCAAGTCCACCTATATTCATGAACCACCCTACTTCAAGAATATGACCAATGACCCTCCAGGAGCACATGGTGTTAAGGATGCTTACTGCCTGTTGAACTTTGGAGATAGTATTACTACAGATCACATTTCCCCTGCAGGAAGCATCCACAAGGACAGTCCTGCGGCAAAGTACCTTCTTGAGCGTGGAGTGGATCGTAAGGATTTCAATTCTTATGGAAGTAGGCGTGGCAATGATGAGGTGATGGCAAGGGGTACTTTTGCCAACATTCGCCTTGTTAACAAGCTTTTAAATGGTGAAGTTGGTCCCAAGACCGTTCATGTTCCCACTGGAGAGAAACTTTATGTCTTTGAAGCAGCAGAAGTAAGTATCCTTCGTTCTCATATTTTGCGTACTTTTTCTTTTCTTAATAAAGTAGTAGACGCATGCTATATCCCTCTATTCTTCAGTTTTGGTTTCTCTGCTTGCTCAAAAGTCACCTTAACTTCAGGTAGATGATCTTTTGTTTCTGTGCTGTTTCTTCTTACCGTCGTTCTTTTATTTTTGTATGGAGTGAAGAAACACATTGTAATTAAAACAACAGTTTAAATTTCCTTGTTGCAAATTGGATATATCTTTTGTATTCCCTATGAATGTGTTTCCTTTTTGTACCTCTTTGAATAATTTCATTCGATCTATGAAATTGTTTCGTATCCAAAATAATAATAATTAAACAACAGTGGTATGATAGTGGGTTGAGCATTAATTTGGAAGGAATGTTGTTGAAAATTGGTTAGCTCTCTGTGAGGGGTGGTGCATCATTTTCGGTTTTCATCGTGTTCTACGTTTTTTCTTTTCCTTGGGTGTAAATTTCATAATTCCCACGAAATAGACAAGTTAGTGGACCAACTTGTCATGGAAAAACTAGATCCATTGTCCCATCTTACATGATATTGTTTTGGCGCAATGTTATGGTTGATTTAGAATTTTCACCTTTTGTAATGCTGACTTAGTTGTCGTGATCTATTTTCTGTCAGAGATACAAGTCAGCCGGTCAAGACACCATTGTGCTGGCTGGGGCTGAGTACGGAAGTGGAAGCTCTCGGGATTGGGCTGCCAAGGGTCCAATGTTATTGGTGAGTGTTTCTAATTCATGAAAAATAGATTCTTCAGTTATTTTCGTTCATCGAACCTGCAATCGACCAACTTCTATAATTTATTGGCACCAGGGAGTTAAAGCTGTTATTGCCAAAAGCTTCGAGAGAATTCATCGTAGTAACCTGGTTGGAATGGGTATCATCCCACTTTGTTACAAGTCTGGTGAAGATGCTGATTCACTTGGCTTGACTGGACATGAACGTTACACAATTGACCTCCCAACCAACATCAGTGAGATAAGGCCTGGCCAAGACTTGACTGTCACTACTGATTCTGGAAAATCTTTCACCTGCACTGTTCGCTTTGACACTGAGGTTAACTCCACTTTCTTTTCCTTTCACACCCCATCATCAGCTTGAAACGCTTTCGTTTTCCCTACTTGCAACCTCGAATTTGCCCCTAATTTCAATTCCTGTCTACAGGTGGAGCTGGCCTATTTCAATCATGGAGGTATCCTTCCGTATGTTATTCGAAATCTCATTAAGCAGTGAGGAACATGTGGAGTAGCTAATTTAGCAGCAGCAATGGCGTGAGAACTCGTCCTTTTTGTATTCCCCATTTTCATTAATAAGAAAACGAAACTCCCGTGTGGGACTCAATTTTTTTAATAGAGAGCGATCTATAAAGCACAGCAGGTTTGCCTGTCTAAAAACTTTCGAGGTTGTAGTTATTATTTACGATTATTCTCATCTGGCAGCATCTATCCTGTCGCTGTATCATAATCACCCTTTTTTTATTCTAATATGATCCTACTAGTGGTTGGGTACTACGCTGCATATCCGAGTTGCTGGCATCCACATTGTTAAAGGATATAATAGAAATGAAGGTTAAACACCCTAATGGAATTACAAGCCATTTCTTAGATTCTTGGAACCGTCAGCAAAAAGTAGTCAATATTTTTTACTGCCTAGGGAGAATAAATAAGAGATTTTGATGAGTTTCTTACATAATTTACTCCTCAATTATTTGCTCTATGTCAGTATGTTATGTCAATTAAACAAGTATGATATGAATCAAATAACTTCAGTAAGATCGAGATCCGTCGACGTCGTTGAAAATAAGACTTTTTTGTTTTTTTACAATGAAAAAATGACCATTATTTGGTTGATAGTACATCAATTATTTATTTGGGCACTAAGCTCCAAAGGAATAAAACGACTCCATAGTCCATACCCATCACAATTAATGGGGATAAATTTCCATTCCAATTATGAAATCAATTCAGTACAACAAACGATGTAGATTCTTTTTAGTACAAAAACAAAAAATGTGATGGGGAGGGGAACAAATCACCATATATAAGGGTGTGAAAAGGGAAAGTCCAAAGAGGACAATATTTGCTAGCGGTGGATCTAGGTCGTTAGAAATGGTATTAGAGCTAGACACCGGACGATGTGCCAACATTCTCGCTGTTCCCTGACGGGGGTAGACACGAGGCGGTGTGCCAGTAAAGACTGGGTTCCAAAGGGGGTGGATTTGGGGCGGTCCCACGTCGATTGGAGGAAGGAAAAGAGTGCCAGCGAGGACGCTGGGCTTGAGGGGTGGATTGTGATGTCTCACATTGGTTGGGGAGAACAAATCTTCATATATAAGAGTTTTAAAATCTTCAAATTCTTACATGTAAGATGTAAAGAAAAAAAAATGCCACCCATACATAACATCTATGTCAGCCTTTCCGTCTGAATGCATTCAAAAAGACCCGCTTTGTAGATGATCCCTATACAAGAGGAGATTATAACAATCTTTCCAGTTATTTATTTCGTTCCCTATTTCTATTTAATATAATCCTTAGGAAAAGTAGTTTGTTTCCGCCGAGCTAAAAAACGATGTCGACGTCTCTAGTAAACCAAAGACACTGTTTAATAGCTATTTTGTTTTGCTTCAATCTCCCTTATCCAAAGAAAAAATTGAAGATTTAGTTA